AGAATGAGAGGCACATGTATTGTATGGCAGTAAATCTCAAATTCGAAATGAGGTATTGTTTTTGTTGGATATGTCGTTGGACCTTCCTTAATGCAATGAGAGTACTGACAGGAAAGGGAAGGGCAAAATTTAGGTGAAAGTCCCACAATTGTTAATGTCCAGCAATAGATGATGTAGACATTGCAGTTGTGCGAATTTTTTATGCCCATGGCATTTCATTCAATGTTGCAAAGGGACCCAGATTGTAAGAAATGGTTTCTGCTCTTAATCATGCTCCAAAAGGCTATGTGGTGCTGAAATATGAAAAGTTTAGGACAACCTTGCTTGACAAAGAGCGGAGTAGGATCGATCATGCATTGGGTTCAATTAGAATGAGTGGGGAACTTATGGAGTGCCGGTTTTGTCAGATGGTTGGAGCGATGTTAAGGATGAGCCTCTAATTAATGTCACGGCTGTGCCAGGGGGAAGGCTATACTCTTGAACAGTCTTGACTGCTCTTCGGTTGAAAAGTCGAACCAATTTATTGCAAAGATCCTTTTAAAAGCTATAGAGTCTATTGGAATGTACAATGTGGTCGAAGTTGTCAACAACAACGCTGTCAATTGCAAAGGTACATGGGTCATAATTCAATGCCGTTATCCTCATCTCTTTTGGTTGGGTGGCTTGGCTCACACATTGAGTCTTCTCATGAAAGATATTGGTAATAAAAATAAGAAAATCCATCTTTCGTTTTTGTTAGAAAGCATTGCAAGCAGACAAAAGCAGTGGTAAAGTACCTTCGTAACCATACTAGGTACCTTTACATTTTTTGCACTCATTCTAATTTCTTAAGGCTAAGAAGACCAGGTTTAGTTATCACATCATGCAGAGGAGCTTGATGGAAGTGAGGGCCCCTTGTGTTGGGCAGTGAGTGGGAGGGTTAAACATGGTGCAACAGATACTAAACATGGGTTGGTCTGTGATACAATCATGAACAATGAGATTTGGAAGACGAATAAATTGATACTATGTTTTGCAAGACCAATATGGAAGATGATAAAGTTTGCTTATAGTGGCAAGGGTGTCAAAGAAGATGCATATGAGCATGTGGATAGTATGCTGAACGAAATTGCAGTGGCCCTATATGACGATCTTGTGTTAGTCCAGAGGGTGAAGACATTAGTTGTGGCTCATTGGGACAGGTCAAATCTTCTACTGTATTGCTGGGCATTCCTTATTAGTCCCAAGTACTATTCTTGAGAGTGGTTGGCCATGCCCACTCCTTGAGGGGAATAGAGGATGAAGCCCCATCAAGATCCCAAAGTTTATACCAGTTACCTTGTAACTCTTAATGTATTGATTCCAGGTGATGCCGACTGGGGAAGGGCACGACAACAAATTAGTAATTTTGTCAGTAATAGAGGGGTTTTCTCTCTCCCAGTGTGCATAGCTGATGGGGTTATTATGCCACCTGTGTTGTGGTGGGACATGTATGGTGGTGGTGCTCCTGAATTGCATACAATTGTGGTGAAGGTGTTGTCATAAAGTGTCAATTCTTCATGTGCGGAGAGATGTTGGAGCACATATAGCTGCATAAATTGTGTTAAATGAAATCGGCTTAATGTGGATCGATCCAAGTCATTGGTAAGCGTTCATTACAATGACATGCTGTTAAGTAGATTACGGATAAATTATGAAGCTACATATAAGAATCAAGACTCTCATCCTGAAGACGATTACCTGGAGGACAACATAGAGGGTTTGACAACATTGGATGCATTTGTCGATGCTGATCATGACAAGTGTATGCCCAACGTCTTACCGACTTTGGGATTTGCAGTCTCCCAAGTACTTCAAGAGAGCCGCCAAGTACTCCAAGAGACATTGATGATTTGGCAATTGAAACCACCTTCCTAGCGCAAACCAAGCGAGCCTTTACCTAGTCCCTCTCAAAGAGTGTCTCCATCATCATCGTTTGTCACACAGAAGCTCCTCGCTGCGGCCCAAAGGGGCGGAAAGAAGAAGAAGAAACTGTAGCCTTGCCCCCCACTCTTTCTCTCCTTTCTCTCTCTCTTTGGGCAATGTTCTCATCAGTGTGTAATGAGGGCATTCTATCTTTTATTTGTTCTTGCACACAATATATTATCTCGTACTATCTTCCAATGTCAGAATATCTATCACTCTCTGTCAATGTGTGTGCTTGATGTTTAGACTTGCAAATTTTCCCTTGATGCTATGGTACATTGTTAATGTAAACAAAAAGAAAAAAAAAGAACATGGTGTCCAAGATCATGAAGGCTTGCCATTTTTTAAAATGTAATTGAAATAAAGAATAGGTTTGATTCGGATCATGTTTCTAATAGTGCTAGGACCGGCTCGGATCACATTTCTAATAGTGCTAAGATTGACTGCCTTTTTTAAAATATAATTGGTAAAGAGTTTTACTCAAATGGGATTGGACCATGGCACATACAAAATCCTATTCTGAACTATAATAATGAAATCAAAATCACTATAATATTGCTAGGATTGATTGCCTTTTTTTAAAATATAATTGGTAGATATTTTTACTCAAATGGGATTGGACCATGGCACATGAAAATCCCATTCTGAACTATAATAATGAAATCAAAATCACTATGTAAATATACATGAGATAATATTTGTATCTTTTGTAGACAATTTACCTAGTGGACTACGAGTCTCTATTAATTTACCTTACTTCTAATGCTGTGTCTAAGGCTCAATAGTCAATGCATTTTCTTCAAATCTAAGAGACCTCTTGTTCAGGTCTTAGAGACCTTTGATCTCGATCGCTTGATGAGGTTTTAAGTTATTACGGCCCAAGATGTCGTTGATGTAGGAATCTTGATTCTAAGTGGGTTGAAACTTGACCCCTAGAGTTACAATTCTCGATGGCCTAGTGGGTCGAAACTCTATTCCAAACTGATGTGAATTTTAATTCCAAACTGGTATGAATCTCGATTCCAAATACGTCAGAAACTCGATTCCAAAGATTTTGAAAATCGAAAAGGACTCTCGATTCCATATGGGTCGATTCCAAAGAGGTTAGAATCTTGATCCATATATGTAGGGATATCAAAATTTCATTTGGGTCAAATCTCGATTCCTATAAAGTAGGAATCTCCTTCCCGCAATTCCCCTTGTATGGATGTTAATTCCGAAACAGGAATCTTTTAGCCAACTGCAATTTTGTGATTTTGATTCCTGAAACGATTTGGAATCTCAGGTGTTTCCATCAACCATGTGCAGTATATGGTTCCCTTGAGTTAGCTCGGCAACGAACTCTACCTCTCCCTTGACTAGCAGTAGATGTTCTTCTCTTATCAGCAAGTAGTGCAGTGTGCTCATTGACAAACTCTTCCTCTCCCTTGACTAGGAGTAGATGTTCCTCTCTTGTCAGCAAGTAGTACAGGGTGCTCGTGGATTTTGCGAGTAGATGCCATAACCCCCCTTGTCTTTATGTCCTTAGGAAAAGATTGTAAACAACATCAAGGTCCTAATTATCTCATACTGGACGTTGTATCAGAAGTAACGACCTGTCTTTAGGTCATTTTTCATGAGCAAGAATTTGGCTCCTAACTATCTTATACTTTTCGTTGTGTCCTGTTAGTAATTCATAGTTTCTTGACTTTTTAACCTTGGTAATATATTTTTCTAGCCCTTTGAGGTTTAGAGATTAGGGACTTATTGTTTTTGGGATCTCTCACAAACTTGTGGGCAGTTTCGGCTCTCTAGCTTTCGCTCCTACCTTGGGACCTTTTCCTGGTATAACGGTGCTGAGCATCTTATATGGGATCGATTGCCACTTCGATACCGTGTAAAACCTATGAAAATCTGAAAAGGAATTGACTTCTTGATAATGAAAAATGTACTCAGTTACAGTCCATTAGGGCTTCATTGGACTATGTATGAGATCTAGTATATCTTTGCCCTCTATTCAGTTAGTAATTACACATTTGATTTTTGGACTACAATGACAATCTTACTGCTACGGTGCATAGTATACTCCACAGACTATATACAACCTATTTTGTACAGGAAAGTAGGAAAGTGAGAGAATAAAAAGTAATTTGGGAGAGAAAAAGACAAGAATGGAAAGTACCCAAGGAAGGGATATGTCAAGGTTACATCCGAATTCTGTGTTCCATTTCCATATAAAATATCCACCCTGTTGATAGCCCTTCCTTGTCCAAACTCCATTAGCTAGCACATCTGCCTCTCCATAAAACACAGAAGGGTTGGGTCCCTCTGATAGAAACCATTTTTTTTATAGTGTTAGATGCATACCCCTCTATGATCAGGGATTTGGTTGTAGAGATGGTCTTGAATAAGGCCGTTTTGGTTTCTCATGAGATTCTTATTATTGTGACAAAATATCTGTGGCAAGAATGTTCATGATGTAGTTAATATTCAAGATTCGAAACTATTATTTATGTAATCTTTACTTATTCCTACAGAAAAGGACTTGGCAAGAAGCCGATTGGTTTTCCATAAAATGTCCCATTTAGTTAGATGCTTAGATAAAGGCTCTTTGTTCCCCTTCCTAGGGTTTTAATAATGAAGTATCCCACATGTATGGAGATGGAGCCAAAAGTACTTACGATTCACAAAGTAAATTTTCGAAGTCTATATTGATACATCAGGAGCGTATTTAGGTAGGAATGCTTACAAATGTAAGAGGAAACCATGCATGTCTGCGTTAGTTTATTTTCTAATATTGATCGATGGACATCATAAGTTATGCTATTAAGGTTGTGCTTGTTAGTGGAAATGGCTTGATAATGCTTAATGCATGCAATTTGGGGGCACTATTGCAGTAAACAGGATGTGGATGTGCAACTACAATTTTTATAATCCCTTTTCTTATTATTTATTTGGCCAGGCACGTAGTTGCACTAAATTTGAAGTTTGTTGCTAATAATCGGTGGAAATTTAGTGGTCCAACATCTTAATTGTGTGTGTGGTTTATGGTTTTCTATTGCTTCTCCATATTTCAGGCTTTGAAGTGTGTTGGCAGTTACCCATTGTAAATTCTAAGCTCCTCGGGGCTTGTCGTAGCTCATGTTTTGATTATCTCAAGATTGTGTTTCTTGCCATGCAAATAGATTTGCTCTGCAATTTGGAGAACTTAGGTGATACTGACAGGCTGGATGATTTCTCATTTGGCCTCAATGCACCGTCATGGTGAGTTAGGAACCACTGGATATTGACTTCAATCTACGCTGCCGTAGAAATCTTTGTTTGTATATCTGATTCGCATTCTAAGTGTTTAGCAGTGTTGACTCAACATTTGCAGAATGAGCATTATTTGGAGTTCCCCTTCTGGACATTTTGTAGAAGGCTTGATTTGTATGGATATTGTTCACCTTTCTTCTTCGGATAGTGAAAATGAGACGGAAAAAGGGTCCCCAGTTCAGATTAGAAAGCTTCCAGCGTGGTCTTTTACTCCTGACCCCAAATCTAGAACTGAAGGTATATTCGATGCTTTTATTTTTCATAAGACCATCACATTTTTGTATTATTGTTCACTAAACTTTTACAAAATTTTAATGCAGGTTCTGCTGAATCTTTTCAAAAGTTGCCTATCTATAAGGAAGTCTCTGCTGATCGCTATGGGAGCTGTAAGGGGAACCACCAGCAAAGGATGGAAGGACAATTACTGCTCCATGCAGGATCCCCACCACTTTGTCAGATGAACGGACAGGTTAAATCCTATCATCCTTTACGAACTGGTAATGAAGCACTAGATGAGAAGGCATATGGGGAAAGAATAAATCCACTTGTTGAAAGCCATGCTCAAATGGTCAACTCTGATAACTCGATGGACCATGGTCAAGAACCACAACTTTTAATGAGCAGAGAGTCCATTTCTGAATCTTTTGGTGGATTAAGGGATGATTATCCCCGCATACCATTTAATATGGTGCCTGATAATTATTTAATTCCCAATGATGAGGCGGGGAATATTTTCCACTCTTCAAGAACCATTTTTCAAGGGACGCCAGCTTTGACCTCTCTCGAGATGCCTTTGTCTCAACAAACATCAGCGAGAAGTTCTCCGTTTTATATTCAGTTGACTGGGGTATCTAATGACACAGAGCGACCTCCATTTTTAATGCATGACAAGTCTGTTTCTGAGTCTAATGGTGGATCAAAGGATGATCATCCATTGGAACCATATCTTATTGAGCGTGATCATCAATTGGTTTCCCCTGACCAGATATGGGATATTTCCCACAATTCAAAGGAAGTACTTAAAAAAACTCCTGTTTTTGCTACTGATGATATGCCTTTGCCTGAGCAGGCATTAAAGAGTTCTCCATTTTCCATTCAGTCAGCTGGGATATCCAACAATACAGATTCTTTTGAAAAGAATGAACGGGGGCCTCAATTCTTTGATTATCATAATGAACCCTATCATCTTAAAATTGGTAATAATTCACATCAAAATACTCCTAAGAGATATGATTTACACAATGACAATGATGAGGGCATCAAAGAGATGCCTTTGCCTCATCAGACATCAAAGGGCAGTCCTCCATTTTCTGATCCGGCAACTTCGGTAACCAATGTCACAGAATGTTTTGTAGAGAATGAAACTGGGCCTCAGCATTTTAATCATCTCGATGAGTTTCATCGTCCTAAATTTTGCATTAAATCATATCAGAATTTCCCTAGGAAAAATGATTTGCATATTGATGATGATGAGGGCAACAAAGAAGTGTCTTTACCTCAGCGGACAACAAGTATGGGTCCATTTTTTAGACGGCCGACTATGGTAACCAGTAACATAGAACCTTTTATGAAGGATGAAACTGGAGCTCGATTTTTTGGTCATCACAATGAGTTTTATCACCCCGTGGTTGGTGATGAATCAGATCAGAATATCCATGAGAGAGATGGTATGGGCATTGACAATGATAAGCACATCAAAGACATGCCGGTGTCTAGGCAGACATCAAAGAAGAGTCCTCCATTTCTTTTCCCGCCAGCTGTGGCTGCGAATGTCCCAGAACCTTTTTCAAAGGATGAAAGTGAGCCTCAGCTTTTTAATAATCATAGTGAGTCTGATCCTCCCATAGTTGGCAATGTGTTGGATCAGATTACTCATGAGAGAGATGATCTGGACTGTGACAATGACAAGGGAATTGGAGAGACACCTTTGCTTCATCAGACATTAAAGCGGAGGCCTCGTTCTTTTATTTGGTTGACTGGGGAAACCAATGTCACAGAACCTTTTGTAAAGAATGAAACTGGGCCCCAGCTTTTTGATCAGCACAACAAGTCCATTCCTTCCATATCTGGTGATGTATCAGATCAGAATGCTCATAAGACTGATGGTATAAGCATTGATAATGATGAAGATATCAGACATATGGCTTCGCCTCATAAGACATCAGAGAGGAGCCCTACATTTTCTACTGGGGCAACTGGAGTAACTGATGTTTTAGAATCTTTTGCAAATGGTAAAAAAGGGCCTCAGCTTTTTTATCATCACAATGAGTCCAATCCCCCAATAGTTGGTGATAGATTGGATAATAATATCCGTTGGAGAGATGGTTTAGACATTGATAGTGAGAAGGACATCAATGTCATGCATTTGCCTCAGAAGACATTCAAGCAAACTCTTACTTTTTCTCGTCAGCCAACTGGGGCCACTAATGAGGCTGAACCTTCTGTAAATCATGAAACTGGGCCTCTGCTTTTTGGTTTTCGTAGCAATTCCAATTCTCCCAGAGTTGGTGACAAATCAAATCAGAAGATTTATCAGAATACCAATGAGAGAGATGGTTTAGACATTGACATTGAAGAGAAGAATAAAGACATGCCTATGCCTCAGCACGAATCAAAGAGAAGTCTCCCATTATCTCTTCAGCCATCAGTGGTGACTAAGGGCACCAAACGTTCTGTAAAAAATGAAACTGGGACTAAGATTTTTGATCATCGTAGCAATTCTGATCTTCTCATAGTCGGTAATAGATTAGATCAGAATACCCATAAGAGAGATGACTTGCACATTGACATTGATGAGGACATCAAAGAGATTACTTTGCCTCATCATATATCAAAGAGGAGCCTGCCATTATCTTTGCCGGCTGTGATCACTAATGATAAATCAGATCAGGATGCCCATAAAAGAGATTATTTTCACATTGTCATTGATGAGGATATCAAAGAGATGCCGTTGACTTTAAAGAGGAATCTTACATCTTCTCTTCAACCGACTGTGGTAATGAATGGCACAAAAATTTCTGGAAAGAGTGACGCTGGACCTCGTCTTCTTGATCTACACGGCGGTAATAAATTGGATCAAACTGCCCATAAGAGGGATCGTTTGCACATTGACGTTGATAAAGATGTGAGTATCTGTGAAAGTGAGAGTAATTCAACTATCTTTGAAAATGCCAGTAATTCGAGACGCCTTCCTGCATATATGATGAATAGCAAGTCTATAACTGCCCCACAGTCAGCTGTTATTGGTGACTTTCGCCGTATTGGAACAGAAGAGAAGCCAAGGGAAGATGATGAGAGGCTTATTTTTCAAGCGGCATTGCAGGTAACACATTCTAGCGTGAACTGGTTATTTTAGTGCTTCATACAGCATTAGGATGCCTTTGGAAATTTTGCATTTTTTTTTTCTTCACTAGCAGTAGCTTGCGGTGCTTTAAACTGCTCAATACTTGGACAACCCTCTCCTGCCTGATCATTGAATTGGTGTCGTTCTTCGTTTCTTTTCTTTGAAATCATTCATGGGTTCCCATTGTTCATTTGGGGTTCTTAAGTTTTTTGAACTCATGGAAAATGTAAGTTGCTTCTTTATGATTGGCAAATGCCAAGTGTTGTATACAGAAAAGTGTTATATCTTGATATTTGTTTAGCTGTCTTTTCCTGATACTACTTTCAGGACATAACAAATTACTGGTTCTTTAGAATTGTTTTGGTGACTTGCTCGTGGTTGAGTAACTCTCTGTCGAAGGGAAGCATATTAATCAATTTCATTGAACATAAAAGTTGGGGCAAGGTAGTTTATGATGCACCTTAGGCTTAAGTCTTCGATCAGGATTCTTTTTCTTGTCTGCTAAATTATGACTTTTAAGGCCTCCTCAAAATTGACAATATTAATCCATACTACTGAAAGAAAACATGGGCGAGTCAACTCAGACTCCCGAGTCACCAGGACTTGGCAGCCTGCTGAGTCTGGAACAGCCCCCAACTTGGGGTATATTTTAAATTATTCACAAGTAATAAAATTCGTTTATAATTGATTCAATTTCGCTTAAAAGTGATTTATAGGTAGTTTTCTAATACTTTTTTTTTTATGTATGATATTGAATATTTCTTATGATTTTTCTATTGTTCATCATTATTTGTAGAATTTCTTAGAGAATCATATTTAACCAGTTTTCTATTTTTTTGAATTTTCAAATTTTTATATTCTTTTTATGTTGTTTATCATTTGTTTTTTCTTATTTTGACCTTTTCATATTTTTCCCAAAATTTTTGGATTTTTTGGCTCTTTGGAGGTCTCGGGTGACTCGACCCATATTCGCCTGAGTCACTTTGCTTGCCCAGGGGATGAGTTCCAAGCCTGAGCTATGATTGTTTTTCTTCCACTTAACTGTATTGAGAAATGTGTGCAAAATCTTGGCTATTTTTAATTTCTAAGTAGAAAAAATAATATAGGAATTCTGTGACAGATTATGTATTTCATCTCCAATATCTGCTGTCAGAGGTGTGCTACCACACAAGTTCGCCAAACAGCACAACTGTCTATCTCTTGCAGCATTGTGGTTGATTTATGATATTGTTAATAGATATATGTTTGATCTATGATACTGAAAATAATTGTGTTTTATTTATGATTCTAAAAATTGTCTATGTTTTTAACTTAAAATAGAAATAAATTTATGCTTTTTCAGGATCTTGCTCAGCCAAAACTTGAAGCTAATCTACCTGACGGTGTTTTGGCTGTTCCCCTTTTACTACATCAGGTAGGTATTTGCATTTAGAGAGAGAGCATGATGATCATAAGACAAGTTTAAGTGTTTCTCCATTGTAGTGAAAAAACATGACTTGCACTCTTAATGCAGAAAATCGCGTTGGCATGGATGGCGTTCAAGGAAACATCCAGTATTCACTGTTCAGGGGGGTTCCTGGCGGATGATCAGGTTATTAGCCTTGGCTAATTAAGTTCCTCTTTCTTTTATTGATATATTAAAGATCTTCTTTATTTGATATTTTCGTTTTCAATATTTGTTCTTTGACATTTTTAGCAAGACTTATACTCTTGTTATCTGACAGGGGCTTGGTAAGACTATTTCGGTCATTGCACTTATTCTCTATCAGAAGCGACCACCTGCTAAAACCACTGGTGATGAATTAACCCTTATTAAAAGTGAAGCTTTTAATTTGGATGAAGATGACGAATGTGTTGGGTTGGACAAAGCTAAACGACAAGGACAATCTGATGACCTGGACATAAAACCAACAGTCAAAGAGGAAGTCCATTCAAAATGCAAAGGGAGGCCAGCTGCTGGTACATTGGTTGTGTGCCCATCAAGTATTCTTCAACAGTGGGCTCAGGAGCTGAAAGATAAGGTTACTGATTCTGCGAGGCTTTCAGTTTTAATTTATTATGGAAGTTCCCGGACAAAGGATCCCTTTGAGCTAGCCAACTATGACGTGGTTCTCACAACATACTCCATCGTAAGTATGGAGGTGCCAAAGCAAGCTCTTGATGATGATGAAAATGATCAAAGAAATGGAGATCATTATGGATTGCATCCGAGTTTTTCTAAAAAGAGGAAAAAGCCTTCAAATGAAGGTATGAGAGGACAGAAAGATAGGAAAAAGGGAAGTAGTTCCTGCCTTGAACGAGATATCAGTCCACTTGCGAGGGTTAATTGGTTCCGGGTGGTCTTAGATGAAGCTCAAACTATTAAGAACCATAGAACTCAAGTTGCTAGAGCATGTTGGGGTCTTCGAGCTAAGAGAAGGTGGTGTTTATCAGGAACTCCTATGCAGAATTCAGTTACTGACCTTTTCAGCTACTTCAGATTCTTGAGATATGACCCATATGCTGTCTACAAGTCCTTTTGTTCTATGATAAGAGATAAAATATCCAAAAATGCAAATGATGGCTACAAGAAGCTTCAAGCAGTGTTGAGGACAATAATGTTGCGCCGAACAAAAGGTGACTAATTTGCATGTGATGCTCTTTTGTCCAAGTCTTTATAGGACTGTTGATTTTGTTATCATTGTTTTCTTTTCAGGAAATGTTTTATTTTTTTTTTGGAGTAGCTGCATGCCAATCTGCATTTTTTTTGAGGTTGTTTTGCTCTTAATCTTATCTTTCAGCTCCCTGCATAAATAAAGTAAAGAGATTCAGTGGTCTTCTGGTATCCCTAAAATTCTTTATTTGGTATACGTTCCACCATCTCTTCCCCTAAATTTCTGCACATTTGTTGGCTGTCCAAGACACTACATTGGTGGCATTATCATTGTTATCTGTCTCCGGTTTCAAATCAAATGTATTTATTTTGTATATCTTTAACCACATTGTATAAGGACTTCAAGTTGCTTTGGTATAATATTTGCATGGAGTTAGGGGTGTATTAATAATATTGATTCTTTCGGTGAAGGTACACTAATCGATGGGCGACCTATTATAAGCTTACCACCGAAGATCATTAATTTGAAGAAGGTAGATTTTTCTCCAGAGGAGCGCGACTTTTATTCCACACTAGAAGCTGACTCGCGCTCAAGATTCAAGGTATTTCTTCTTGTATTATGAGGATTTTGTGTGGCAAAGGTTGTCTGTTGTTTTTAACTTCTAAATCTAAGGGATATCTTGTTATCATCTAGTGTGATTTGATTAATGTTTTCTGACATGAGTCAAGACCTTTCTTAAGTATAAAAAGACCTTTGTTAACTTTTTTTATAATTCCATTCACAATTTTATATGTTTTGGTTTGGAATGACTCGTATGCCTTGTGCATTCCTTTAAAGTGTACCCTACTTGTTGCAACTATCTTAGTGTACATATTAATCTTTTGTGAAATATGGTTTAGTTCATTCAGGCCTAGTGGTTCATTTACCAAAATGTTGCGGTAATTCTACTGTCTTGCTTCTCTCCCTGCGAAACTTCCAGCTGCATGTGCTTGGTCAAACTTCTGTAAATACATAGGGATTTCAACCTTGATATCAGGAGATGCAAATCACACTTTAGGTCAGACTTTTGAATATTACATAATTGCTGCTGGAAAATTGAAATTTTTGGATTAGGATGGTAATAGAGCAGTGATCTATGTCAGTTTTTGTGGAAGTTCTTGATTGATTATGAACCTTATACTGCATACAATATTTTTTTAATTGTGTATTTTATAGTATTCTTTGGGCCTTATCTGTGAATGACATGTCTATGATTATTAGTTGGGTTTTCCTTTGGTGACTGATTTTATTATTTCAGGATTATGCGGCTGCTGGGACTGTGAATCAAAATTATGCAAATATTTTGCTGATGCTTTTGCGACTCCGTCAAGCTTGCGATCACCCTCTTCTTGTTAAAGGGGATCGCATTAAGAATGTTGGAAAGCCCTCTTTGGAGATGGCAAGGAAACTTCCAAGGGACAAGCAGATCAATCTATTGAAGTGCTTGGAAGCTTCATCTCCACTTTGTGGTGTCTGCAATGTATGTCCTCATATATTCTAATGACTTCTTCTTTCATGTGTTTGTGTATATATATTTATGCATGTATAACCTGCGATTTAGTTCAAGTGGAAGGCTCTAAAAGAGCAAGGGAAAGGCTTAAAAGGACATGGATATAATTAGTGAGAAAATATATGGTGACTTTTGGTAGTGGTTCTTGATAGAGAAGAATGGAGGAATAGGATTTATGTAGCCGACCCCAAATAATTGGGATAAGGCTTGGATGATGATGATGATATATAACCTAGTATTCATAGAATTCTGAATCCACTAGTCTCATGGGGAAAGAATCCCCAGCCCCATTTAGAATTTACTTCTCACGAAACCCTCTTGGGTTGTATACACGGTGAAAGATATCCGAGAACCTCCAGTAGGTTAATATGCTTAAATGTGTTTGATGCCCTGGCTGCTGCTGCTCCTTATGAAATCATCAGGCACCATAAGTAAAAAATCCTGCAAAACTTCCATGATCAAATCCACAATGAAATCCCAGGAAGCCTATAAAGTGTGGAATCATCACGGCCAAGAGCCTAATTCTAGTCTACCCTAGAACTGGCCTTGTAACTTAATCCAGGAAAAGCCTTTCAGTTCAGATCGTATTACTAGTAGGATTTTTTTTCTTCTTCCTGATTATGTGTTTCATCAGGAAGTTAGTCACTGAATGTCATTGAATTCTAGGAAACAAGCTAAATGCATGTGCATTTTAAAGGAATCATTTCTGATATAAATATCTTTAACCATCTGTTTTCCCCGCTTGGGTTTTATAATAGTATTTGAAGGTTGTAATGTCAAGAATTCCAATCCTACCCTGTCAACATTCAAACGAAAAGAAAGTATTGGAAGGTTGCATCTATTCTCAAGCGTACCAAGTGATCAGTTGAGCCTACCTACTCCCTCAACCTATCAGCTTTAGTAGCTGCCTTTGGAATAGATTGGAAGTGTAGGCGTCAAAGCCCTAGCTCGCAGGCTAGGGAAGGCTAGTCGTTCATTAACCAGTCCTTAAAGAGTGTGCCTACTCTGATGTGTATTATTTCTTGACAATTTTTTTCTTGTCATCATGGATGTTGTCTCTGTTGTGTACCTCGTTGCTTTTCTCGAGATTGTGTTGATGAAATTGCCACTTCGTGTTTTATTGTTGGCCAATAACTCTTGATGATGTTTGGGAATTAATTTCCATAAATGGAATGCAAAGATCGGAATAATGAGTCTGTTTCTACTCTTATGCTTCTGATATTAAAATTTGATTACTGCTTATGCAGGACCCACCTGAAGATGTGGTTATTACGACATGTGGCCATGTGTTCTGCAAGCAATGTGTATTTGAGAAACTTACAGGTGATGATAACCTGTGCCCTGCATCTGCCTGCAAGTGTCAACTTAGTGCTGATTCAATATTTTCTGGAGCTACTCTGAGAAGTTGCGTCTCAGATCATCAGCTTAGTGGTGGCAACTCAACCCATAGTATGGCCGAGTATTATGAAATTCAGAGTGAACAAAATACTACTTCCTCTAAGATAAATGCTGCTCTCGAGATTTTGTTATCACTCCAACAGGTGAACTCTGAAGACCGATCTGAGGCATGTGGTGAAACTTCTATAGAGAGCACAAGCGAAGCAATTGTGGAGTGTTCCTCTTCGAGTGCTTTTGGTGAAACAAGTTTGAATATACAGAGGAAACGGTGCAACGAGCTTTATACAGTACCAAGCAGCCAGCTTGCTAGAGTACCACGTAATCACCATGGTAGAGTGCCTGAGAAAGCTATTGTTTTCTCCCAATGGACTGGAATGCTAGACCTTCTCGAAATCCCATTGACAAATTTTTCAATACAGTATAGGAGACTTGATGGAACAATGTCTCTGGCTGCAAGGGACAGGGCTGTGAGAGACTTCAATAGCCTTCCAGAGGTTGGTTCAGTGCTTTTAGATTATGGGGTGCATTTTGCTGAGGACCCATGGGTCAAATTGAACACGCGTCAATCCATAGGAAACATGCTAGGGGGACTTTTAGGACCTGAAAATTTCAAATATTTTTTAATTCACCTTGTTATTAATTTCAGGAAAAAAAAAGATTTTGAGCTCTTAAAACTCTGGATCTTATTGTGAAAGGAATGAATGGTCCAAACTTGATGTAGGAGCAGGAATGGATTTGGAGCATTTATTTAGCTCCAAAACTTTTTAGAGATGAACAAATATCATATTTTTCAAAAAGAGATGAATAGATGTGATATTGAGAGTTTTGCATGGTTTTGGCCCATGGGTCTACCTCCATGGTTCAACCTATATAGTATTGACCCATGTGTCATGTGTCATGGGTCTACCTCCATGGTCTACAAAGTTTTAGTGCTACAGTATTCTCACGCCTATTTTTCTTGTCTCTTGTTTTTTTTCTTGTCTTTTTTATTTATTTACTTATTAGAAATAATATTTTTATGATAGGTGACCGTTATGATTATGTCATTAAAAGCTGGAAACCTTGGTTTGAATATGGTTGCTGCCTGTCATGTCATTCTTTTGGATCTTTGGTGGAACCCAACAACTGAAGATCAAGCTGTTGACAGAGCCCACCGAATTGGGCAAACTCGTCCTGTGACTGTCTCCCGACTAACTGTAAAAGATACCGTTGAAGACCGGATATTGGATCTCCAGGTGAAGTTTTGAAAATTGTACCCTTTATATGAGTACTCTGTTTGTTGTTTTCATGTATGTAGTTTTTAAGATCAAAGTTTTATCATGTTCTTCAAATTGTTTGATATATTTCTTCCATATAATTGTTCTTAATAAACGAGGCATGGTTATCAAAAAGAAAAGGAAAAGAAAAGAAAAAAAAAGTCAAAAGAAGTTGATTTTGTACGACTTCCAAAATGTCGGACTCAAATGCAATTTTAAGGATTTCTTTCTTCAGTAGTGGAATTTTTGTCTTTGCAAGATGAAAAGGACAAGAAGAAGAACTCTATTCATGTTAGAGAAAGAATTACCAAAAAACATTTAAGCGTTAAACCGGACCTTTCGTATGCTGGTCCTTATATCCAAGAGAATGGTGAACTTAGTTCATTTGGACAATCACCATCCATCAATGAAATCATGGAAGGAAGTGAAGAGTGGGACCGTTCACTATTCAGATTTTTATTCTATTTTGGTGGATCTCACTGTCTTTCATCCATCATTTCATTGGGTTTTTGATTTTGTGATATCCAAATGGACCATGAGTATACCAGAGTCCATAGGATCATAGTACATTTTCCCTTGAACATTACATGAGAAAAATTAAGATCTCTGATCTGTTATGCTATGTGTTCCCCTTCATATATCTGTCTTAATCCACAGGAAAAGAAAAGGAAAATGGTGGCTTCTGCCTTTGGTGAGGACCAAACAGGCAGCCATGCAACTCGGCTTACTGTTGAGGATTTAAGATACCTATTCATGGTTTGAAGGCTCGACTTCAAATCCCATATTGTCTGTGGTTCATACAAGATGCTCAAAGATGGAGAGGTGAATAGAATAGTGTAATAGCTTAGAGATTAGCTTTTGGTTCTTCGGGGCTGGCGAATTTTGTTTATATGATTAGACAGATGACCACCTCAAAGGCGTATCCCATTGTAAATATGCATGCATTCTCTCTGTTAAATTACCAAGGGAAAGCATTGTCCCTTTTTTTGAGTTAATGAAATGAATTTCAGGTCTAATCTATTTTGGAATTTTCCTTTCTCCCGTAAACATATTTCTAGATCTCCAGGTAGTATAGCCTCCTGGTTCTTTAGCTTTATCTCCTTCAACGGAAACATGGAATCGCTCTCCCCGTCTCTCTCTCTCTCTCACACGCACACGCACGCGATGTATTTCACAGGCACATCCCATGTGCTTTACACTACTTCACACGTATACACACACCCCATGTACTTCACACCAGTGTAGGAAAAATCGAGCTGTTCATATTCAACCGCTCGGTTAGAATAGAATCGGCCATTGGCTGGTTTTGATTTCAGCCCGTTTTGGTGAACTTGTTGGGTATTTTAAAAGAACTTAAAAAAAATTATATAAAATTCTAAAAAGTAAGGGATTTTATTTGTAATGCATTTATAATTTTTTTATTATTTAGGCAAAGATTGGAAATTGTTTTGATTATAAATATTTTTTTATTTTTTATTTTTTGAAAAATTTCAAAAATAACTTTAGACACAAATCGATTATTAAAAATCTATTTTTCATTAATTTTCAATTTTATATGGACGTGCTTTGTTTAATCATGTTTTAAATATATTTTTTATATTTTATTAGATTTTTTTGTAATTTTTTAATTTTTTAAATATTTTTTTATTGTCCTTAGATTGATTGAATCCAAACTGGTTAGTACCGAATAACCGTTTCCGACCTATGTCCAGTTAACCATTTCGATTCGATGTTTCTTGTATTGCTTCACGCACAAACACCCCACATGTACTTCGCACACACACCGAGTACTTTGTACTCTTAAAACTTGAAGGTGAACGCCCTTTTGTTAGCGTCTTGGGCGTTTGGGAGCTTTCTCTGTCTATCAACACGCACAACCCATGAATTTTGTACTCTTTAAGTCTAAATGTCAACTACAAGTCCTGTCAATGTCCACTCGTGCCACGGAGAGTTCTCACCGTATTAAATTATCTTTCCCTCTCTTTTGGTTCTTTTCTCAAGAAGAAAGCTTATTGTTCCTGTTAGCTTAATATATTCAAAATGATCAAATAAAAGGGCGGAATTTCAGGCTGTGTTTCCTGCTACTTTTAGGAAGTTTCAAAGTTTTGAGTATTGCGAAAGATTTTTATCTTTCTAAAATACTTTTGGAAATTTCTCTTAATAATGGTTGATATTTGTGCTGCTTTTCCTAAATTAATATGTACGCATTGCTTTTGTTTGGTGTCCTTTTGACTGGAATATATATGTGATTTTATAATCCCATTTTGAACATGGTATAAACTCATTTCCACTTTTTAATTTCTTATTCTTTAGTTCTCCTTATATGCATATATTTTAATTTTCTTATTCAAGTTCCCTTTTAATATACTTAAAATTAAATCAGAAAGTTGAAAATCTCTTAACAAATCAGCTTGATAAATTACCAACAATTTGTGATTAATGAAAATAAAATATTTAAATAAAATAATTTTCAAAGGTTCTCCTAAATTATTGCTATATATATTTATATATAGGAAGAGATTATAAAATGCCTATGGGTGAAAATGAATAGTATTTTTGCCCACAGGCTCGACGCCATCCGATATTTTTGAATGCCGTGAATTAAAGACTGTCGCAGATATAGCATGTATTCAACGTTCATCACGGATATAGCATATCCGTGATGCGATTTTTTTCACACAAAATTGATGCAAAAAATATAGGGGGACCGTTATGGTGGTCTGTAGCGGTTTTTAGGCAAAACCATCACAGACATAGCATGTCCGTGATGGGAGCGAAACACTATAGCACTTCGCCTATAGGCGTTTTTAAGACATTTTTCGATAGTACTACAGTATTTCACCCCTATCACAAACATGTTATGTCTGTGACGGGTGTGCCTAAAAACCGCCACGGACCTACGGGAATCGTGGCAGCCGCCCTATATTTTTTACGTCAATTTTACATGAAACAAATTCCACCACGGATATGCTATATCTGTGACGGACTGCCACAGACATACTATGCCCGTGACAGTTGTCAATCCACGCTGTCTGAAAAAATCAGATGGTGCCGAGCCTATGGGCAAAAATACTATTTATTTTCGCCCATGGGCATTTTGTAGTCTTTTCCATATATACATATATATGTGTGTGTTTCTTGGAATGAACACTTGATAAGCTGTCGGATTGGACCTTGAATTACTAATTAAAAAAAAAGAAAGAGAAGAAAAAAGAAATAAATTTTTCTTAAAATAAAATCGTGGTGGATTCCTAGTGGAATGACAAAAATTATTGTCAAGGAACTGTTAGGGCGATAGGTTAGTGGACTATTAAATTTCGAAGTAACTCTTTAATTTGTAGCTTACTATTTCTTATCACGTTTATTTATTAATAATACATTTTATGGGCAAAACAAAAAAGATATCTTTTTGTAAACCATATTCTTATTTATTGATGCATCATCTTTAGGATATATTATTTTTCTTGCTGACTCCCGAATATATAAAATGAGGAGTGAATATGGGCGGTTCAACTTTAAAAAGGATAATAATCCAAAAAATGAAGTTCTTTTGTTAATGAGATGCATTTACCTCGTGCTAACGAAATTAGAACTTAAACTAAGAAATGGATGGATTGTGTTAGTTTATAGTCATGGTAGTGAAAGTCCAAAAAAGATTGGCCTTCACTAAATTTGAGATGTTCCTCTTTCTTATTTTGGGGGTCGACTCAAGCTACGGTCGCATACTCTTAGAACAATTTAGGCGTAGCCAAACTTTTGTCTTTTTACGTCTCGGGTTTAAGGTTTAGGGTTTAGAGTTTAAAGTGATCGTGACTAATATGCTCTCTTTATACATTTTGGAAAGAATGATTGTGATATAAATCAAAAGAAGTTTATTGCTTTTATGAGGACCAAAAGAGCACCTAAACTCATGAGAAAAGAAATATACCATTGCTTTCAAGAGAGCTGTTGCCCTTGGATGGGGACATGCAGTTGGCTAAACATGGTCGGAGTGGTTTCATAAGGTAATGGAAAAAAATTTATATAAGGTATCAATTTTATATTATATGGGTAAGGTGGACATAAAAATTAAGTAGAAAAGGTTGTTTTTATGCTAGATAACGTTATTCTAATACATTATTTGGACCGTTTATTTTCAATATTTTTATGCGTTTATAGATTTGCTTGACCGTCACCATTTATAAAACTTTAAATTTCATAATTGGGGGGAATAATAGATTTTCATATCCTCACAAGACTATGCGGCACTAGAACTGCATTTTCGACAAAGTTTTGAGCTGCACCGTACTTCAATAATATAAAGTTGACACTTATATAAACTTTATCCTACTGTAATTCTTGATTCTTTGCCATTATAATTGTATTATCCACCTATATTGTCAATAAAGGTTTATGATCTTAACAAAAAAAAAAAACAGATGGGGGGACATGGGTTTGGCCTTGGACAACTGACAAGTATGAGTTTGACACGTGTGCGGATTTAAGTAGCAATGATACGACCTTTGATGCATTACTGGGCCCCCACCACCAAGGTTGTGATGGAAATGATTGGTGACAAACATGCTCTCTCACGATTGAATTGGTCCCCATCTAAATAAAAGTTTTGGCATTTAAGTAAGAGCATGTATACGATGCTCCCTCTGGAGCGTACCTTCCTTCTACTCCCTCAGTTAGAGAGGATTTTTTCAATAATCTAAAATTTTGGGAATCGATTAAGAATTACTATACGTTTTGTTGTCACTTAAATATCATCATCTAAAAATTGGTTGGTCCCTATTCAACTTGAAATAGTATTGTTTTCAACTATATAGACGGTACAATTAATAAATTCTTTTTTATTGAGGTTAGTGTATGGGTTGAAGATGTTATATCTTCAAATTTGGAATCCTAAAATTAATTATAAGTAGGGTTCCACTTAAGGAGTAAATGAACATTATACTCTCGAAAGAGTAGAATATATTTATTTCGTCAAGAGAAAAGGGAAATTCGCATGTGTGAAGAGATTATATTTTCCATAGAACAAAATGCATGCTTGTTTTCTCTTGCAAAATTCTAGCTAGTAGTATTTTTGGGACTCTAAATTCTAGGGATGGCCAAGACCAACTTAGACCAAAAAATCTTTGATACACACCTTGAAAGTGCATGAAAAAAATATCATGCCTTATGATTATACATAGATTGTGCATATTCAAAATCTTTTTTCTCTCAAATAATTATATGATATTGGAAAGTGGATCCCAGAAGGGTTGGTAATGGGCCAGGCAGCCCTGTTCGGCCTTAAAAAAACTAGGGCTTGGGCCACAAAATATGGCTTTCAAAGCTGGGCCTAGACTGACCTAGAATTCTTCCCCCCCCCCCCCCCCCCCCTTCCCCTCCCCTTGTCTTCCTATTTGTTTTCTTGTCTTCCTATTTTTTTTCTTTTGACAGGGCCAGAGCCTCTTCAGCCCGGTCTTCCCTAAAGCGACTAGGGCTAGGGCACCCACCCTAGATCCAAAAAATTTAGTACCATAAAAATCCACCAAGGTAGGCCATTTGTCTGAGGGAGCAAATGTACACTGTACATCAAACAAACTAAATGTGGAATATGAGAGAAGGAATGCTATTATTTTAACGGTTTAACCTCTTTTGACCTGACAAAAAAGCAATATGAACAAGTACCAAAAGATGGTGAATGTGCTTATAAATCCCTAATTTTTAAATGGCCCTTTATGGACTTTGAAGATACAGGAAACATGGGCTTTACATTGATTAAAAATAGTATAAATCTTTTCAGGTGTCGCATGATGCCTCCCATTGAGTGTGGGAGGAACCAAGGATGAGTGTGAAGAGCCTAGATTTTGTCATGTTGGATTGGACGATCTAGATTTAGCACATCTCTTGTCACTTAATTTCATATTAGAATACTAGGGTGCTTGTGGCATTTTTCACACACGCTAAATGGTCTTATTTTATACTTTCTTACTCATTAAGGAAAGACTAGGGTTCGTATGAGGTGCCCACCTTATACTCTATTATTAACTAAACTTTA